TGCAGCCAGGAAAGAAGCATGTTAGCATGTGAAGCTGCTCTGGAGCATTAAAACTCACTCTCTTGATCTGCATATAGCAACATATTTACACACAGGGAAGGTCTACGTCTTCAGACATGTTTGCAACAAAAGCACTTTTGAAATACCTTATCAGACCACATGGTCTAGCAAAGGACAGAGCCAAGCGTACTTTGTCCTAAAATATGGAACTGGGAGAACAGTTTCAAGCCACAGCCAAGTTCCTTCCTCTACTACAGCCTGGCAACCCTGCTCAAATCAAGAGGCAGAACTCAGCCTGTGGTCCTCTCCTTTCACTACAGCTAGTTTTCTTCCCCTCTTGGGGACACGGACTGTAAAAGAAACCATTTAATTTTTTTAGTTTTAAAACCTTTGTTATAAGGCAGACAGTGGTAAAGATTTAGATCTCAACTTGGCTGAATCAGTCCTTTAGTCTCTGATTAACCAAAGAAATGAAGTGTCTTTTCTCACGAAGGAGCCATAATAGTGAACCCAGTCACCTGAAGGATCCTGTAACCTCAGGCACAGTGACCATCCACGTGGAGACAGTGAATTAGCCGATTTCCAACTCTCACCGCAGCTGCATTTTGGAGGTGGTATGACTTGCACCTCCCTTCACAGAGGTTTCTGAAACACCAGCCGTGCGTTAGCAGGGCAATGCTTCTCCCCCTTTATTTGTGTCCTACAGAAATGAAAAAGTTGTCTATACCACTAAAGCATAATGATGCTTTGCGTCCCACCAGCCGAGGAAACCTTTAGGTCTGTACCCACATAGGGATGACAAAGCCACACTTACACAAAAGCTGACCTCAGTTCCACAGGGAGCTACCGGGACGAGGTGCCTCCCCAGATACCAGCGTTTCCCTCGGCTTTCTGGATGCAGCTGTACACACACACAAAAAAATCATGCAGCGCAGGAAGTGGCCTTTCACTCTTACTCCATTAAAAATTGCAAGGCTAAGAACATTCTCGGTTCAGGCTTACAGCACCAAAATACTTTGAGGTTGGACCACCCTAACAAGGTCAGCTCTTCCCAGATCGAGCCTGCACGCAAACAGATGCTGGACTGCAGATGACCAGCTAAGTTCTCTGATTCAAACTGGTGCAGGAGCACCAGGATCAGAAAACTAAGCTGAAAATGCTGCATGTGCTTGGAAAAGCTTGGTCCCAAAGGAAACACAGTCTGAGGTGCCTCCAGCAGACAATGAGGAAGGTGGGAAATGCCCTCAAAGTTGCTCAACTCATGAAAAACAGTCTTTCCTCTAGAGTGAGCCAGGGGCTTTCAAAGCACAATCCTTTCTTTCAAATCCAGAAATACCAGAGTGAAACTGCTGGCACGCTAACAGAACAACGTAGGATGAAGTGTCAGGAGTCTGTGGATAACACCTGGCTTTCCACTTCCTTCACATCATGCACCGGCAGCGTCGCTGCCAACACGCAGCCAGAAATCAATCGACACCAAGGTAAAGAGCATCTGGCTGTCACTCAGCACTAACTGACACTGTAAGCAGAGAGGGGGGGAAATTTAATCAAGTCTTCCTCTTCTATGATACCCAAAGATGTACATGTACATGCTACATCAGCCTGTAGCTTTAGGCACCGATTTGGACATCCAGGCTCCTGCCTGTGCCAATGCACTGATCCAAAACCTCCCGATGAGCTTATCGTATCATCTCTCTAGGAACAAAGACACACACACACCCCCAAAAAGCTTCAAACTGGTACAAAACGCAGCAGCCCATCTGCTTCACAAAAATGGTTGCCATGAATACATCCCTACTGCTCTGTGCCTGCTATTTTTAAAGATACTTGGGAGGCAACTGAATTCACTGGCGGTTGTCCTATTTAAGTATCTAGATTAATACTATTCAAGGAATATACCAGTACTTCTCTGTGGGGAAATACAGCACTTGCCTGGCCCACACCTGGCTCAGATGCATTTTCGGCAGACTAACTTCTGTAATCCAACGGCAGGGCGATAAACCCACAGACAATGGACACTTTTCACGCAGAGCACTAAACTGAAACGGGCGAGTCTTATCCTCAGAAGCCCCACCAGAGCGTAAGGAGACTTTCCACAGGGAGGTGAAAGGACAAGCAAAAGGATATTTACAGCTGCAACTTTAGTCACTGAAATACCCATGGTTTAATGCAAGGCAAGAGTGGAAAAAGGGTACCCGCCTGCAAGAAAAAAAACAAACAACAAACCAGAAGACCCAAGAGAGGCAGATTCCCAAAGCCAAATGTGCTGACAGGACCTGGATCTGTTCCAGAGTGCCTTGAATTCCTAAGAGCGTTAAGTCTTACTGCATTTCAGAGAGGTTCCCCTCCAGCCTGGCTGCTTTGTCGCAGCCCAGGCAGAGGTGTGCGCAGCTCACAGCCCGGGGTGCATCCCACCGGACACAGCACTGGGTACCTGCAACGCAGGCTGAAGTGGACTTGGGACCGGGATGGGCTGATGGGAGCTGGCAGTACAGCCACCCACTTCTGCTCCACTCACAGGTCAGATTAACCCGGTGCCACCCAGCAACTCATTGGATATATCATATCCCCACCTCTCACCACGGACATGCACAAGCTGCCAAGTAAGTTTGTTGTAAATAACCTGAAAAAACTGTCTCTGGAGATTCTTATATTCTCAAACAGCTCTTCTTTTCCCATCATAGGTCACTTAATTGAGAAAAAAGTAAATTGATTTAGTGCGTCCTATGAAGGGTTCCTATACCTACTTCTCCGCCCCATTTACAGACTCCAAACAACATGGGACACCTTGTTCAGGTTCTCTGACAACTCACAGGCAGAAAGAGCTACCAGTCTGCTCGGTCACAGCTGCATACCTCCTATTGCCACAGGCCGCAGAAGCAGCCCAAATCGATTGCAGAGCAAACACCGGACTTTTTCACATAAGCAGCTCACATAATAAGACCTGACAGACACTACAGCCTCAAACACAATCGTTTTTGGAAGTGGTTGACTTCAGAGAAACAGTCACAGATCCTAAATAACACACAGACTTCTAACTAAACACGGACACAGCATCTCCTTCCCTTTAATCTTTCCCCAGATCCAAAGAGTATCAGAAAGGTCATGGAAATGACTGGAGCAGCACAGCGCAGAGCCAAGGCAGGATCCGGGCGCCTCTCCACACGGTCACTCTCCTCCTCACCGTTCATGGAAATTCACCCCTCCTGATGTTTCCCTAACTGCAACGGAGGAAAATATTTGGAAAAGGTCAAATGACTCAATACCACCGAGACCTGTAACTTTTCAAGCAGGAACAGGTTTCCATGTGCTTTCAGTTAGAGTACAGACAGGTTAGGGGAAAGGCGGCAAACCCAACAGTCTACTTCCCCTTTGCTCGTTTATAAGTAATCAAGCCGGTTGAGAGTAATGCATGTGTTTGGTTTAAATTACAGATGATCTTGCTGCTGGAACACATCTGCAACACACCGCGCTGAGCAAACTGCTGAAGCCCAGCCAGCTCAGAAAACAACCCAATGCAACCCCAACGGCTGGCAGCATCTGCAAACCCCAGCGACAGCTCCTAGAAGCTGCTTTCCGGGACAACAAGAGGAGGGAGATCGACATTTCTCAGCACAAGCTTTTCCTGAGACACCCTCCAGTTCAAGTAATTTTATTATGACTCCAGGAGCAGAGGGGTTAATTTCTTTCCTAGTTCACATACTGTTTGAATTCCTTAGATAAGCTGCTTCCACCAAACCCAAGCATCCAGCCTCAGGGGAGAACACTCTAAGGAAAAGCTCTTTTGATAGATTTTCTTCAAAAAAGAAATTAATTCCAAGTCAATTTTTTGAGGTGTTCCACGCCCACGGTTTCTACAGACTTCAGATGAGGTTGCACCACGCCTCTGGAAGAAAAACCAAGCTTTGAGCAATGCCCTACCACTTCTGTTCGCAAGGCAGAAATGTTTTATGCTTGTCCAATAAAACCTTCTCCCCTGAAATGAGAAAGCTCTGTGTGCAACGCCACAAAGAGAAAAACCAGATCAAACCAGGCTTTAGCTCTGGGATAAAGTAGTTAACAGCTAGCATAAACTAATCCTGTACCTTTAAAACTGAGCAGTCACTCAGAAAAGCAAAAAAACAAGTTTTGAAAGCCACCGAAGGATTCCTTCACATCTTGAGGCAGAAAGCAAGCAAGTCTGGGCTGTTACGGAATTTGCGTTTGCATACTGCTGGTGATAATCTATGTGCATAGTTGGAAACAAAGCCAGTTTTTATTAGCAATTAGTAGCCGGAGAGGGGACAGACCTGCCTGAAGGAGTCAGGGAAACGCCAATACGTGATGGCAGAACAGCCTTGTAAGATGCGCAGCAGAATGATCCCAGTATGACGGATCACATAAAAAAAGAAAATACTGCAGCTACAAACTTCGAGATGCAATGGCATCAGTTCAAGGAGATAAACAGTGTCTTTAACACTGACAACTTTGACTCCAGGCAGCAGTTTTCCCTTGCACAGCAATTTGCAATGCAAAGCAAGCTACTTCTACGCTTAGCAAGAACAGTAATCCTGAAGGAAAGGGGGAGAGCAAAGTTGGGAAGAGTTGATTTGCTTAGATACAGTTTTCTACAGAGCTGAGTTTCAAGACAGGCAAGAAAGCAATGTAGCACAGGGTCTGAAATAGCATGTCATAACTTGGGCAAGGGGAGGGGGGGGGAAGTAAGAGCGGATTTCATCCACAAACCCCAGTCCCTTTCAGGGGAGCAACCTCCTGCTCCCTCTCCACATCTCTGAAAAATTCAATCCAGCTCTGATCAGCCAACACCACTCAGTTTCAGAGCTCTCCAGCTATGTCCTTCCCCAGCTCCGGAGAATGATGTGGCACATGGGGCCCTACAACAGAACTACGAAAATCCCATCAAGGGGTAGGCAAGTGGCAGCCATACACTAAACCGCTCAAGTGAAAATAACCAGGGAAAGAAGCACAGCCAGGAAGCAAGTCTGCAAGCAGCTTCTTACCTGGTAGATAAGCTAGCAAAGTCTCCTCCATCCAGCAGCCTGATTTTGCAGAACAGAACCCCATTCACAAAGGGGACAGCAGTCAGCTCTTCTAGAGTGAAACTTGTCTGAAACTTGAATTTCTTCTTCTTCATCAGGAAAGCCATGGGCAAATTCAGCGTGGAAAGGCCAGGAACTGCAAACAAGATCGGGGAGGAGCGGCTCAAAACACACACAGACAAGGAGAGGAACGGCACTCGTTCCAGAAGCACAAGCAGGGAGTAAATTCCAGTTCAGTTACAACGACGGCCCAGCTTCAAACACACAATTCTCTTCTCTTTGGTGGTCGGATCTGGCTGTGGGATCATCGCCACGGCAGGCTTCAGGTGAGGAGGAAGAGGTCAGATTAAACCTCTGCAACATCTCCAAGCGAAAAGGAAGGGAGAGAAGTCAGTCTCAGCTCCAGACCAGCAGGAGCTGTCCCACTTGGAGGCTGCAGTGCTCAGTCTTCAGCACAACCCCTCCAGAAAGGATCTCTTGTGGGAAGTCATCGCGTGTCTCCAAAGAAGCCTTAAGTCTGTGGGCAGCACATTCAGAGAGCATCCAGTTTCTATCTCCTCCTCCTGTGCAACTCCTTGATACAGGTCTTCGGGTCAGCCTTTGGGAGGGAAATGAGTAAATTAGTCCCAGCCAGTCTGGAGCTCCTCCTCTAAAACCTGTTTGGATGCGTAATATTCAGTCCAAACTCATACCAGTCTTAAGAGGTATGGCCCCAATTAGCCTGGCCCCAACATCCTCTTTCCCCTTTTTGCCTAGAGCAAGCTTCACTGTTGTCATCTCCTTCGTAATTTGTTTTGCAAAGCAGCTAATAAAAATCTGCTGTATTTTTACCCATCGTTTTTAGGAGGAGTTTACAGAGCAAGATTGGTCTAACATGTAGTCTAACACGAATAAGCAAAGCTGTCTCAAGAAATGCAAAAATCAGTTTCTTTTGTTTTTCCGACCAGCCCTAAGTGTTAGCACCTGTATCTTATAAATTGAGAATGCAGCACAGAGGAAAAAAAAAAATCAAGTCTGCTCCAGATTACACAGCGTAACAACCGAATCAGGTCATCTGGCTGTCCAATAGGCAGGCCCACCAAGCACGCTGCCCTCCCCCGGCACCAGGTCCACGCCAAGCCGTGCCCGCACAGCTCAGTTCTGGGGCTGGAGACGGTAATTTCATTACACGTTTATGCAACACCTAAGCCAGGGAGGCCAAGAGCTGATTAGCATCTAAAAGGGACGACGTTATGAACACCGGGCAGTAAACAATCCTCACCGATACCAAGAATTAACGACTGCAAAACAACGCAGGCGACGCTCCTGCTACCCGCGCGGGTGCATGGTTAAAGCCCCTCTCCTGCTCGGGCGGCAGCGGGCGAATGCAGCCATCTCTGCCCGCTGCACCGGGGCCCGGGCACCTCCACGGAGGCACCGCCAGCCCCCTCCACCAGCTCTGCCTGCCCCTGCACCGAGCTGACGCCAGGTCTCAGCCTGCCTTTCAGCCCCCTGGACCGTGGCACAGAGCTGACCTGCCTTTCATTCAGCCCCCGGACTGTGCACTGAGTTGATGCCAGCTCTCAGCCCATCTCCGGGCCCCGAGGGCCACGCACCAGGCTGCGGTAAGGTGGCAGCTCGGCCCCTGGCACCCTAGGCCATACACTAAGCCGTGGCCAGGTCTCAGCCCCCCTCCCGGCCCCAGGGGCCACGCCACCCGCTCTGGCCCCTGGACCGCGC